TTTGTTTCTTTCCTTGAAATGGCAAGAAGATGCCAAAGCAAGAATGAGGTAAACGCAATGCTCTTCTCTTCACTGCAAGGCTGCCTCAGTCTGCTGCATCCAGCTTCCTCCCGTGGTTTCCCTCTGCATCTTGGCTCCATGGCAGACTGTTACTTCTCTGTCTCTCTCTTCCCTCCTCTTCCTCTTTGCTGACGTGGCACAGCCCTGACGCAGGGCTCTTGGTTTAAGTGTCCTGGAGTAAAGCAAAGGCACGCAGACTGTTCTATCCACACTGCTTCTCTTCTCCCAAGTGGTTAATGCGGTTTCCCAAACCACTCTTTTAAACTGAAAGGATATTCTGCCTGAGTGTTACGCAATTGTAACTCTCATTTCTTTACAAAATCAACTTATCCATGAACATCTGAATCCTGCTCCTTTCCCCAACCAACCAGTTGAAAAAAACTCAAGGTGTGCATTCTGGATAAACATTAATAATGTCTCTCCAGAGGTCCAACTGGTATGAAGGTGCTACTTGGAGCACACCAGGCTTGGTTTGGTTTCAGCAGTGTAGAAGCAAGGCAGCTTATGTTTGGAATTAGGCAAATTCGTGCCCTCGAGTGTTTTTTATTAGCTCAGGGCCAAATGCATAGCATCAAGTGGATTTATGCTGCTTACTGTCAGGGTAAGGTAGTTTCAAGACTTAATAAGCTAGTCCTGCAAAAGGAACAGGACAAACGTGTTGTGTCATATAAAGTCAGGTCACAGATTAGCAAACAATAATCTGTTCTTTCTTGTTGTTGTGTTTTCCTTGGGTATGATTTCAAGTTCTTTGAAAACCTGAAGCCTTGCACCCAGGCACAAGTGAAGTACATCATCTTCCATACCTTCTTTAAATACCTCCAAGGCCCTTCTGCAATTCTTTCATGGATGCTTCTTTCTTATCTCCAGGTCACTTCTACGTGATGAGGTTCAAAAGCAATCTTGCAAATATAAGGGTTTGAAGACAAGAATGCATAGCTGAGAACCAGGATCTGCCAGTTTAAGTAACTCCTCTGTGTTAAAAGCATTCTGCTTTGAAATGTCTGACTTCAAGTGTCCTAGGACATCCCTTTGGGCTGCAGCTGTGTGAATTAGTCCAGATTGCTTCATTAAATCAACCTGAGGGATATGTATCTTGTAGGCTTCATTTTGATCGGTATGTGCTGCTGTGGAAAAAGGAGATGACAGAAAATGTGAAAGAAAAGCAGCTACACGCTAAACTGGTCATCTGAAGTACTGCTTTTAGTTTATTCTCTTACTGGACGTATTGTCCTTAAAAAGATGTTTGTGTCACAGGTGTGTCTTCTCTAACTGACATTATTCATGAACATGTAGGAATACAGGGCAACCATCTTTTCCATTCTGGAGATCTCCTGTGGTTGTTCCCACCCATCCATGACATGAAAATCCATTGTGAGAGTGCGTGTATCGTGCTGCTGTTGTAAGCTTTCCTTGATGATGGCATTCCTTTCTCATCTTGAAGGCACTCTGGTAGGTAAGGAGAAATGCAACAAGGCTTAATGAAAGTTCTAGGTGGTGAATAGCGACAGTCCTGGTGACTGAGTTGTAGAAAGTTATGGCGTGCCTCTGCCCGCTTAGTGCAGTGTTGAACGTGGGGACCATGAGTCGCTCTGAAGACAGGTTTAGAGCCCATAAGGAGAGAAATCCAAATAACCGTATGCTCTTTGGGAAAAGCACTGACGTGTGAAACACCATTCCAGGGAAGATGTGCAACTCGGTCATAAAGCAAGAATCAAGAGTGTATTTTGGAGACGTGTTTGGAAGATTTCTTTTTTTGAGTGCGCTAAGAGCCAGAATCAAGACGGTTTCCTTGGGATGGGATCCAGGCATGTTTCAAAAGCAAACTTAATGCACTCATCTGCAAAGGTGGACTTGTCGTGGCTTTGCATGTCCTTAAAAACCTACTCTTTAACCAAGAAGACCTGGCACTGAAAAATCCCAGCATCTCTTTCATGTGTGTGATAGTGCATACCAAGCATTGCCCTACTGCAACTTGTCCCCCACCGTTAAAAAGAGCTTCTGTTTCCAGTTAGGTGGAATTTTTAATTGTAGAAACACGTGGATATGCAGCTGTTTGACCACATAGAGCCTAAAAAAACCCAAAGTGTTGGCCCACTGACTTTGCTCAAATGTCCATCCTGAACCCCCATCCCAGGAATTCTGGTTGTGTTCAGTCTGGTTTGAGGGTGTTAAAAACAGAGTGGGAGGAAAACTGACAATTTCAGCAAACACTTGAGAAACAGGAGATCAAAAGTCACAGTACTCCATGGAAATCAATGTACGCTATGGGATGCTGTTAGTCTGCTTTTGTAGATCCTCATGAGGCTTCTTTCATGACACAGCTCTGCTAGTAGCTGTTTGCAGTGGATTTTAAAGGATTTCCAGGTACTTTTGTATTTGTCACTGCTCCTGGAATCACCATTGCTCACTTCCAAAGGATGCATGGAACCTGAGAATGGGATGGAGTACCGAGTAATGCTGTAGCTTTGAATAAGCAGTGCCACAACATTGTATGGAAGGAGCATGTTCCCAAGTGGGAGCCATCTTCGTGCAACAGCCTGCTTTTACTGCAGCTGGCATTACTGTGATGCAGCAGGTCGGCAGCACGCTCGCATCAATGCATCTCCTTTGGGCGCAGCACCGTTTTGCTGTCACAGCTGTTCACAGGTATAGACCAGCTGTTACTCTCCCAAATAACTTGCAGTCTGAACTGACAGAAAGGCAATGGAGTTGCAACTGTTCAGTCTGAAGTTTTTCACACCGTACAGAATTTTCCCAGTAACTTGAAAAAAGTGACTGAATTCAATGCGCTTTCTCAAAAACTGCTTTTTGCTTTATTTAGAAAGTTATGCTGAGGGGAGAGGAAGCAGGAGAAACAGTATAAACACAAACGCAGGAGTTTGGATAAACAGACTTCTTTCAGGTTTCTTCAGCTGTTCACCAGCAGTGAAGGTAACCCATCTTCTTTTTCATGTCTTGCAGGAAATCCAAGGGAAAGCCAAATGGTAAAAAGCCAGCGCCGGAAGAGAAGAAACTTTACCTAGAGCCAGAATACACAAAATCCAGAATTACTGACTTTGAATTTAAGGAGCTGGTGATGTTACCACGAGAAATAGACCTCAACGAGTGGCTCGCCAGCAACAGTGAGTATTCTGATCACACAGCCCTCGAGATTGCTGTCCACACCCAAGTAGGCATTCATTCACTCTTTTTTTTTTTTTCTTTACTGTTTTCAGCACTTAGAAAAGCACGCAATGACTATTTATGCTCACTGCGTAATGCATGTCATTATACCCTGAATAGCAATTAAGCTGTCTTATACAAACCAACTGTGCTCAGCACTGGGGAGGTGGATGTGTTTCTTCCTCCGTCTTACTGTGGCACCAAGGGCATGAAAGTTTCTAACACTCTTTTGAGGCCCATCGCTTCCCCTTCTGACTTCTCTGCTAAACGTGCAGCTCAGTGTGTTTCACACCATTGGCCTTCCAGAATCATTGAAAAAATGGTAATTTAGTAAGGTTCTTATGAAAGCTGAGTTAACAACCAGAAGTTTAGGAGTCTTTTGGTTAGACGACTTCTCTCCGTTCCATCCAAGCTTTGTTGGAATTACTGTGAATTGAAACTGCAGTTAGGCTAGGACTCAAAAGATGTGACCAACAACTGCAGTTGAGTGCTGTATCAACACATCTCAGTTCTGATGCATTTTCTTGTGCTGCTGTGTGTGCCATTCTAACCTGTGGCTGTGACCCAATGTTTTCATTTCCAGCAGGATGTGGCAGTAGCAAGAAATTACTTGGATCTGTATTAGAAAAGTTTAGAGTGGCTCGTTAAGAAAAAGTGAGGGGGTCCCACAGTTTTAAAATGTTAGTATCTCAGGAGATTTGTTATAAGTAGCAGTGTACTTGTTTTCATGCTGATTTTCTCAAGGGAGATACGTCATTAGGACTGTTAATGTTGTTTTGTAGCCACTGTGCATTTTAAGTCTGACTTCAAAAGAATGTAGAAAATTGCTTGCCTTCAGCTTGTAACAGAGCATTCTACTGTAAAGGTGAGGCTGATGACAGAGACACTTTCCAGTCTCGCTGCTTTGTGAGTAATAAGAGCTGATGCATCGTAGTGCTTTCATCTTAAATCAAAACAAGAGCTTTCATTCTCTGTACCTCTTTGTTTTGCAATTCATCATTAGACTCATTTAACTAAATCATGTTTAAGTATGTATGCAAGCTTAAGACGCTGAGGTCACTTAACTTGATCTATTTAAATAATTGTTGGGAGGACAACCGGTGTTTGAAAGTATTTTATTTCTGAACTCCTTTCCTTTGTGTCTATTTTTCAGCAACAACTTTCTTTCATCACATCAACTTACAATATAGTACAATCTCAGAATTCTGCACAGGAGAGTCGTGTCAGACCATGGCAGTGTGCAATACGTAAGTCAGTATTTACTACTACAGGGTTTCCACAAAGCCTCGGGAGGAGCTTGGGGAAGGAGACTGGAATTAGGTGGCACGGGGCAAGCAGATCTCTTTGCTCAGTAGGGACACAGCAGCTGGGCATCCTTTTACCTCTTCTCAGTGAAGGGTGGTGTTGTGAAGGACTAGGAGGACTGGATCTTTGACTGTTTGGAGCTGGTTTTATAAGGTAGGATCAGAGAGGCAAATTACTGTGTGTACAGCCTGCGGGGAGGAGGAGAAGAAAAAGGAGAAAATTTCCTTACTGGTAACACTGCCATAGAAGGCAGGGAAGGATGAATGAGTTGAAAAATGTCCGGGAGTGCTTTTTGATAGCTGGAATGCTGGCAGAGCACCAGGCTGCTGATGGTTAACCTCTGGCCTGACGTGAGCCACTGGTTCTCTGCCGGAGCCCCTGGGAGCAGAGGGCACAAGTGGCAGCTTTGCAAAGAGTACAGAAAATGTTTTGGATTGGCACTTTCCCTCTGCAGGACTTGGTACACTTGGTAAGTGTTGACTAGCTGTCGCTTAGAAAGAAGGCTTTGTAGCTGTACTGTATATGGTGAGCATAAGAAACATTTACCATAAACTCCTGCTCTTGATTAGCACGGTCCAACATAATGGAATATGAGATCCACTTCATTATGAATAAGCCTGTTATTTGGGTGTTGTTTTCTCTCCAGCGCGTGTTCATAGTCTTGTTCTTTCCTCCTCTTGCATTTCCTGGGATTACATAGTTGAGATGGATTTTAAAACCCAAGACTGAGTGAGTTAGTACTGAGCAGTTAGTGAGTACATCAAACAAACCTCCTAGAGAATGTGTGGAAAAAAGCAGGGCTCTGTATTGTATCCCTAAGGAGAATTAGGCAGTGCTTAACAGGATCCCTTGCTTTATGCACTAGGCTATCCTGTTATCTTGTACACTTAAAATTAGTATCAAGCCCTTTCTTTGACAGTGCTCTGAAGAACACAAAGTGCATGGAGGATATTTTTGTGTGCAAAAGTTGAAAAGATAACCATCAGTAGAGAATGAAAAGCCATATTAGAGGCTTGGGAAGCAGGCTGGAACAGAAAGTTAAAAATCTCTACTGGGCCAGATTTTATCAAAAGTGGACAACGTGTCTCTCACCGAGAGGTGGTGATCTCTATAAGAGTATTTTGTTGATTCTCAATCCCAAACTTTCTCATGTTTGAATTATTAACGTAGTACTGGCTGCTCAAAGAACTCGTCTTAACTGTTAATCTAAAACTGATAGATAGGAAGCAGTGGTTCAGAGGAGGTGGCGGTGCTGCTCTGTTCTGCTGTAGTGAGCCTGTAAGCAGATCATGTTGCAGAATAAAGAAAGGAAGTGCCTCTGTGTGGCTTCAGATGTATTGTTAGTGGTGAGGACTGATAGCACAATGCTCCTGTTCCTATCCTTTGTTTGGGAAAATGGAAAATTACGCTATTAGGGAATAACAGGAAGCATGTCTACACTTGGGTGAAAACTTGAAACGGTTTGTGTTTAGCAAAATGGTATCCAATTATTTTCCTGTACTTGGAGGCAGATGACTGAGGCGCGTTTGCAAACTGCAGGCTTCATATTTTGTTCTTTTATGGAGCGTGGGTTCATCCAGCTCCATGCCTCCATGCAGGTCAGCCTTGAGGGGCCTGTTTATAACTGTTCTCCAAATATCTCCAGTGACAATTCTGCACAGCCCTTACGTTCTGCCTTTCCTAGCTGTTCTCATGGATCGTGCAGAAGTGCCACGTTGATGCATATTCGTCCATCTCCAGTCAGGACTATGACAAAGCCAGATTTTCCCCCTACTTTTTATTAAAAACAAAAACCTTGCCCTAATGAAGGTTAACAGATGTGCGTTATGTCTCTGGCTATTCTGCAGTATATAAAGCACATCAGTGAAGCATTAGAGCCAGCTGTTGATTAACCTGATAGACCTGGATTTGACCGTCTGTAACTGTGATCCGTTTGTTGAGGCAGTTTGGAAATAGGCAGTGCCTAGCCATGCTGGGTTGTCACAGAACTCCAGGTTCTGCAAGTAAGGGCTCAGTTTGCCACTTTGTTCAGGGCTGACTTCAGTAATTCAGTACAAAGTTCTGCCTCTTGTTCCTCCAGGACGCTTTCCCTACCCCCTTTCCCTCAGGCTTGGTTTGGGCCTGTTCTGGTGTTACCTAAGCAAAGTGTGTATTAAAGGGTGGAGGTGTCAAACGTGACAGAACGGGGTGCTGGGGAACTGCTTTGTATTCAGGCTTCCTACAGATACTCAATCCTAGGGTTAGAGGATGAGTTGACAAAATAAAAAGGAGTTGCACCTAAACAAATGGGTAAGGGTTGAACTTTGCTCCTGTTATACTTCATTATTTTTGTAATAGGCTTTCTTTCTGTTAAATCCTTTCTTCATTTCTTCCTGCGACTCACAACAGAGCTGCCAACTCCACCATCTCTCCCTCTATGAAAGCTTAATGTCACCTAAATTTTACAAATGTAACAAAATCAAAATCTGTACAATGTGAGCACTTTTTGAGAAGTGCCTTTAAATGTCTGTCTTCACTTCCTTTGTGCTTTTTGTTTGTTCCCTACCATGGCACTGTGCTGTCACAGTGCCAGCAGTGCAGTGCAGTTTGCTTTCTTGAGCCCTTTGGTGGCCCCAGCCTGGAGAGAACTCAGCATGAGTGGGAGCTGCTTACAGGGCAGTCATGGAATGCCAGGGACACCTCCCTTTCTTCAAGATATGTCCAAGTTCTCTTCACAGCACTTCAAACATGAGAAGGACAATTTTAATCAACAGGCCAATCCTTGCTTTTATCCCCTTGGTCTCAATTCCTTTCTTTTATTACTAGCCAAGACAAAAAGGTTACATGGTGGGATGTTGTAGCAGATTTGTTCGACTTGCATTTTCCTCTCAGTGAACGTGCACAGTTGCCAAACTGTTTCCTTTACCTAAACTCCAGTTATTCAGGTTGGTTTCTCCAGCCTGAGAAAAGCGAGGTGCAGACAGTCCTGTCTGCTCTTGGCAACAAGCCAAGAGTCTCTTGGGTCTTCTAAGACCAAAAATCACTCAGAGAGGTGCTTGGGATTGTGCTTCTCCAGCTTAAAGCTGGACTCGACTAAAGAAACAGACCCAGCTTAGATTTGCTCACTACATTGCATAATTAAGTCTTTATACATGGATTGTATAAATGAAATAAGCAGTGACTAGTAGAGCCCATGCCTATTTCAGTGCCTGACGTAGCTTTTTATGCCTGATGTTTTTATCCTCTTTCTCCCATTTATGCCATTTTGCAGGCAATAACAGAGAGACCAAGCACCATATGCTAAAAATGAGCTGAACTAGTTTTCAGTTGTCTCTCCCCTTTAAGTTTGAGCTTACCTCTGCTCTCTTTCCTCCAGTCTTCATATGGCCTAGTACAGACTGAGGGTCTACAGTCATCACATATTGCTACTGCCTTCACACCACCAGCCTCAGGTCCTGGATCAATCTTTCTGGGCAGTGACAACACACTGTAAATAAGAGCTTCTCAGTTGCTGTGTAACATTTTTCTTTAATGGCTTCAGAACAATTTTGATGGTCAGTATGCATAAAACTCCCCTTTCCAAGTGGCACCTACGGGTCCTTGCAGCTCATTGTTGATCAGCCCTGTTAGGCAGAGAAAAAAACATTTAATCTGTATCTCCCAAGGGAGAAAAAAAAAAAAAAGTATCCAGAGGTGGTTAAACATCACAATGAAGAAAGAAAAATGTTGCAAAGGAACTGAGAGGAGCAATACAATGTCTTTCTTATCAGTCTCATAATTAAGTAGTCCTGACCTGGAGCTCAGACTGTTCGGAGTAACAGTTCACGTACGGGAACTCAGATAACTCCAATGTGACACTGACAAGAAACAAAGGTTTTGGCCCACTGCTTTATCTGTAAAACATTTCTTACTGTGCGTATCTGATGCAGCCAATAGCTGCTTCTGGTCACGGAAGTGCTTTAATTAACCATGATTTAAAGAAACAAAAATAGAGGGAACAAAACTTCAGTGCTTTCTTAGCGTCCAGATTCCTTTCTCAGATGTGTGTAATAGTTACTAAGAGAATGTTTCTTGATCAGCTATCAAAACTGAACAGATGATGATGGCTAAGAGATTGAGCTCAGGTTGCTTTTCAGAGCCTCACAATATGCTTATGATGCCATTCCTTTTAAGATCCTACAGAATTATGCTCTGCTGGTACAATCAAATGTTAAATCCAAATGTTACTGGATTTTGGAAACAAAGGAGTTGGATTCTAAGGCACATGCTTAAGAATGTCCAAAAGGGTTGTGACAAGATTCCCCAGATGCTGTTTTGCAGCAGGACTTGTTAAGAACACTTCCAAGTATCTCAAAGCTTTTTTCAGCCTGGTGTTCTGGAGCCACCTTCTGTCAGCTTAATAATATTACACTACAAGTTTAATTGCTTTGTGTTGTCATACATCAGATCTCCTGTTTATACTTTTTTTTTTAATTTATTAAAGGCAACAACAGTAGAATAGTTATAAGGCACCTTCCTGTGCAGCTTTGTAGGCTGTAGACCCTCAGTCTATCACAGACAATTATACTGCCTCACCAGTATACTCAGCTCACCAGCAACTCAACTTGGAAACTTGTCAGCAGGCTTTTGGGGCTCATTGTTACTTTCCTGTGCTCTGGACTAAATTGATGGGGAGAGGCAAACCTGACTAACAGAAATTTAGGGCTTTTGATGTAGGAAGATATCCTGAAGTCCACCTCCTCTGTGGCAGCTACGATTTTATTCAGAAATGCTGCAGTGGTTTTGTATTATTTAGAAACTCACCTCTTAGGAGTTCAGCTGAGGATGCAGGGCGTAACGTGACGCTGTGGGCTCTCTCCACAGACAGTACTACTGGTATGACGAGCGGGGGAAGAAGATCAAATGCACTGCTCCGCAGTACGTCGACTTCGTCATGAGCTCAGTGCAGAAACTTGTGACAGACGAGGACGTCTTTCCAACAAAATACGGTACGCTAGCCTTTGGGTAGCTGCTTCATACGGCTCTTTGGAGGTGCAAAAAAGCAAGGTGAAAGTTGACATGCAGCTTGAATGTTAATACCAGGCAGCTTTCACAGTATATTTTTAAGGGGTTATTTTAATTTGGGTTCGTTCCTGCAGTGTCAAAGAATTACACTTCTGGCATACAAATTGGGATGAAGATCTCCCACTCCTTGGCTAATGTTTTACCACTGGTACAGCTTTTTGTTCCAGGAAGCAGCCTGTGTTCAGAGAACAGTCGCCATGTGGGTATTAAACACAGCGTGTTGCCAGTAAAATTTAACCTTGTTATTAGCGTTTCTTTCAGAACCCTGATGCATTAAGTGGGAAATAAATTGCATTGCCAGCAGCATCGCTCCTCTTCCCTGCCTAACGGGGCTTTTTTTCCTCAGATTGTTTAGTCTCCATTCCCCTCCAAAGATTAAATAAGAACAGGATTTTTCAGGCCTGAAAAACAACAGAAAAGTAATTTTCACTCAAATTTGTATCTTACAAAGACAGCATTCCCTTCAATTAAGGGAAAAAAGGCTGATACCTGTGGAGCAGAAGTTAGTGTAGATAGGCTTAATCAGGAAAAAAAGTAGCTGGCTTCTTAAGTCTCTTTACTAGGTATCTGGGGAACTAGGATATTACAATGTTTTTGTGATGGCATTTACTTAGAAAGAAGGCAGTGCCTAGTAAGGTAGCAGCAGATAGGACTGTTATTCTGGTGGGTTTTAATATGCTAATTCAAAAAGGCAACGAGAGCCTTTCATCTAAGTGATCTGTCACTGTGACCAAGATGCACTGTAGACCAGTAACACTTCTTACCACCCATCATGCACAGAATGGCTGCTTTCTATTTTCCTTCTTGCCCCAGTTTCACTGTCAGCATCACAAGCAGTAGTTGTCCAAGAAGTGTCTTCTACAGTGAGGGCACAGTACTGCTCCAGCAATCCTAATTCAGACTGCACCTGATAGAAGGCATCTGGTAGCCTTCCCTTTTCTATCTGACAGCATTTCAATCATGAAATAAGGGAGGTCTGCCATGTACCTTAGCATCCATTTCATGATCTGTGACTACCAGATGTACTATGTGTTTCCAGCCAAAAAATATGCCACTCCTGAACAAATTATTGAAGAACCCCGAATAATCTCTCATCATTTCTTAAAGTAACAAAAAATGTTGTGTTTTAAAGACATTACATTTTCTTCCTAATTTTTAACTTTACAGTTTAAAGTCATAGAACACAGGATCATAGCCTTAGCTTTAAATGAAATGCTTCAAACCGTACTTCTTTAAGGTGAGCTATCTGTGCTTACCCAATTTTGCCAGAATAAATGCTGCTGTGGGACTGGAGGTGACCGGCTGGAACTGCTACGGTGTTTCTGTCTTCCTTTCAGGCAAAGAATTTCCAAACTCGTTTGAGTCCTTAGTGAAGAAGATCTGCAAGTACCTGTTCCACGTGCTGGCCCATATCTACTCCTCACACTTTAAGGAGACTTTGGCACTGGAGCTGCACGGACACTTAAACACGCTCTACACACATTTTATCCTATTCATCAGGGAGTTCAACCTGGTGGACCTTAAAGAGACCACCGTCATGGACGACCTCACGGAGGTCCTGTGCAGCAGCAGCGGGAGCAGCAGTAATGGGAGCGGCAATGGGAGCAGCAACAGCGCAGGAGCACAGAACCACGTGAAAGAGAGATGAGCCTCCTCCAGGATCAAAACTAACATTAAAAACAATATTATATATTATGTGTGTATGTGTATGTATACGTTCAGATATACATACAGGCATATACAGCTATGAAAGCTGAAAAAAAATTATGCTGCCACCACAGGACGTGTAGTCATACGGGACTGTATGGAGCTTTGGTTTAATGCGCCACCTGGCGAGAAGTTGCACCAATTTTTATTTTATTTTCTGTCCACTCTTCCTTTTACCTATTCAGGTGGATGGTGAGTGCTGTTTTTAGAGAAGAGCCAAGCCTGAGAGTGGGGCCACTCTTATTTCTTTGTTTTGGTTTGGTTGTTTTGGTTTTTCTTTCTTTGGTCTTGAGTGCAAGCCCTACATCTTCCGAGGATGGTGGTCTTGCCATTTTAAAAATACCTATTATATTATAAGAAGTGACTTTTACTTTGAAGTGGCTTAAAATGCAGATTTATTTGGGTTTTTTGGGGGGCGGGGTGGTTTTCTGGTTTGGTTTTACATAGACTGCCCCTGACCCCTGCCAAAAGCTTCCCAGTTGAGTGCATCTTGCCCTTTGCTAGCTTGGAATGGGAAGAAACTCCTGGCTTGACTAGAGCAGCAACTAGGGGCTTGCTACGTGTTGAGAGTGGGCATGATTCTCCAGTTGTTACATCTACTTGGTCACAACATGTGAACGTGCAAGAGGATCCACGAGCCTTTCTGCTTATTGCTCCTACAACATATATGCTCTCTCCCCTGCTCCCTCCGCCTCCTCTTTTTATTTATAAAGATGTGCCTGGGAAAAGAGTAACATCACTGGTCTAAAACCAATGTGCAAGAGCCACCACCACACGTTTCCCATTGAATGGAGGCCCGGGGAGGGAGGAGAAGGGCACATTGAGTCCGTCACTGCCTGTGCTAGAAAGATGGCTGTTGGCATAAAATTATATTGTTGGCTTATTTTAGTTCATCTGTTCTATAATAATAAAAACAAATCTATCAGCCATGAGCTTTGTTTTTGTGTTTGCAGCGCCAAAAGTCACTGGAGTCTACCCCTAAAGCTTCCTTTTCACTACTGAATGCTCTTAACCCTGCTGTCAACCAGCTTTATAAACAGTTTGTCTTCTACCCTGTAAACTAGCATTTATCATCAATTTCTTGTCTTTTTTTCCTGGTACTGCTAGGAGTACCTCCAGGTAAACTTGCAGACTCCAAGGGAAGGCAACACACAGAAGGAAACAACTTTCCTGGTAGTACACACTTTCAAGTTCCTGCTATCTAGACATGCTCCTGGATACTTTGCAGCAAATACAGCATCACAGTGTCTGCATCAATAACATTACTTTCTCATCTCCTCTGAATTCTGGCACTCCAGATTTCCAGTTGGTAAAAAGCCAGATTTGGCTTGCAATTGCACTTCTACCAAATCTGTAGAAAACCATCTTTGTGAATTGTTTGTTACCATTTTTAAAGTATTTACATCATTAGTAACTGACATGGCACAAATTCCAGAAAGACTTCCTGAACAAGTTCTTTAACTGCTTTAGAAGTCAGTAAGAAAGGGGAGATGGAGAGAAAGTACAAGAGCAATGAGAACAATTTCACAGAGGAAAGACAAGGAAAAGCACAAGCAAGCAGAGAAGCAGAAAAAAAGCACAAGAAAACAATGGTTAAGTAATATGGCAGAGCAACCAAGGCAGAGGAAGAAAAAAAGCTTAGATGAGAATAAATGGAAGAAGTTACAGACATAAGGGGAAAATAAGAGCAAGAAGACATGAGCACAAGGAAAGGGAGGTAGAGAAGCAAGCAAGAGAAAACAACCTTTGTCAGCCCAGGCGTCACCTTTCATGTGTACACACTGTGGTACGCTGTCAGTCAGCAGGTAGGTGTGCTGCTGTCCTGCTGACCCACTCACCCAGATGCTGTTAACAGCCTGGCCTGAGTGCAGTCTTTCCTCACCACGTCCTTCAGCTACTGCCACCACATCCCGATGGAAAGTCCCATTCTCTCTTCATTCAATGGTTTGAGCCTTCCATAACAACTCCCTGCAATAATGTCTGAAGGGAAAAAACTGTGTTGAGTCAGTTTATCAAAAGTGAGCAGAAGCTATCAGAACAACGGCATTTGTAAGGCCCTGTACTTACAGTGTACCTGCAGTGACAGCAGGCAGTACAGATAAAGGTAAGAAAGAAACAGTGAGCACAACAACCCAAACCCAAATATCCCTGGTAATTATCTACTTGTGAAAAGGCATCTGCAGTCTTAAAGAAGGGCACTTAGAAATGGAACACGTCTAGGAAAGGTTGTGTTGAACAAGAGGCAGTTGACTAAACCAACTTAGCTTCATGTTGTGAACTGAAAGTTAAGAGTCGTAATTACCAAATTGGTAATTGCCATGCCTTACCTTTCCATAGGAAGGGCTGACAGCACCTAGTGTGCCAGGAGCCCGTGCCTTGACAAAGAGCTGTAACCAATAAATCAGCTACCAGGAAAATAGTAAAGTACCACACGCTACGTCTAGAAAAGCCAGGAGTAGCTCTTGCCAGCTGTCCTCAGTTTAATTTGCAGACATTTTACATTTGTGAAGTACAGAAGCTTCATCTAGACAGTAATTTTTTTTAAATATATTTTACAACCAGCTTATGACAAAACAAATAATCTGACTTCAGTGTGGCTCACCCTGCTGATTTTAACAGTAGGAATAAGGACAAACACCGAAATAAGTGCCAACACTAACATTCTTCTGGCCAGGAGTAAACATTACTGTAAAAATGAACTTCAAAGTGTCTACACACGTTTCAGTGGTTACTTAAGTGGATTACACTGTAATAATGTAACGGTAAAGAATTGTCATGAAGTCCTCAAACAGCCTCAGTGATGCCACTGCAGCTTACCAATGACAGCCTATGCCCACCAAGCAGCCAAATTGAATACAAGAACTGAGCCCACATCCCTTCACATCTATGGGAGGGCATTAGGTCTCAACAAAAAACTGTCCGTAACTGTTTTAAGTAAGGGTGCTTCATGAATTGACCAAAGTGCTGCTGAAACAACAGAGCCACCTCATTATTCCAAGTCCAAACCATCTTCCCCTAAAGATCAATTAAGTGCTATACCATTATTGCACAGCCGTTACATAAAACAAGAACCAAACAAAAACCTGAGCTATCACCCCAGCACGGATGCCCTTCAAAGGCCTTGTCTTAGATAGATTAGACAAACTCACAGAATCACAGAATTGTAGGGGTTGGAAGGGACCTCCTGAGATCGAGTCCAACCCCCCTGCCAAAGCAGGTTCCCTACAGTAGGTCGCACAGGTAGGCATCCAGGCAGGTCTTGAACATCTCCAGAGAAGGAGACTCCACCACCTCCCTGGGCAGCCTGTTCCAGTGCTCCCAGCTTTACACTTGCCACTGCAGAACCCCTAACAAATCTCCAAGCCCAGAATGATGCCAGCATGAGCTCAAACCATCACTGACTAAAGGTGTTCTTTTAAAAGTAGCCCCATGTATGTTCTGTGGGGTTACACTCCCTCACCAGCTTTGTGCCCACTCCACAAAGTCCAAGAAGCGGCAAGACAAACTGAATCAGACATCATCTACTTCAGCCCAGTAAAGACATCTCTACTTCCTTCTTTCTTCCATGAGAGCTGTAGTTACCAAGGCAGAAATCCCACAGAGCAATCTCATTTTACGTATGAGCAACAGCCTTCTAGCCATGTATGTTAAGAGAAGTCAATCTTGCTTCTTATGGGACACTTTTCTGATGAGCACAAGCAGAGAGAGACACTCTGGCACTGAGGTACCCACACTGCCAGCCAAACATGCTCACACTGAAGTGCAGCTGGAACTGCTCAAGGGTCTGAAAGGGCATGCTATCAGGTAATGATTGCCTCCTGCACATTAGCTGAAGACTAAAAGAAACAAGGAATCCCAGAGAAGAACAAACCAGCTTTGTGAGAGCTTACCAAGTATGCTGGTCTTACACAGCCATGCTTCATCAAACAAGCCCGCACTCATGCCTGCCATCTTCTAGCTTGCCCTAGCCAATCCTCAGTTCTCCATTAACAGAACAATTAGAAGCCAGAAATACTCTTCCACTATCAAACTGAGGACAGAGAAACAGGCTGTCTTATTCTGCCCAAACCCACTATGTGAGAATGCTGGTCATATCATTTGTGAATGGCAACACCAGCATGAAGCTGCTCCTAATGCCCAGGCCCTACAGCAGTTATGGCTGCACAGCACACAGTAGGGCTGCACAGCACACAGTAGGGCTGCACAGCACACAGTAGGGCTGCACAGCACACAGTAGGGCTGCACAGCACACAGTAGGGCTGCACAGCACACAGTAGGGCTACCAGCTGTGCTGCAGCCCAAATACCGGTCCAGTACCTGAGGAGTTTCAAGACAGATCTGGTATCTTTACCTGACACTGATGTAAGCAGTACAAGCAAATCCTGACATAGCAGATGGAGCTGATGAAATGGCATTAACAAGACACTAAGCAGCAGGCAAAGCCCCTCAGTGTGCTAATGGGGGTCTCTGTTCTCTTCACAGACAACAGCAGAACCACTCAGGCTGCGACACGAACAGTTGGGCTTCTCAAAGTGATGTCAGCGCATGGTTCTGAGAAAACAGAAACTGTTGTGGCCGAGCACCCAGACTGGAAGTTCTCTCATCTCTTCCAGACAGCCTTTTCTGGCTCTGAGCTAGAAAGGACCTAGAACTGAACCTGGCATCAGGAGTATTCTATCTTTACTTCTCCGCTGATGTTTTACTGTCTGCTAATTCTTTTCATTCTATCTATGACAGAGTCATTAAAATGCCCTGAGCCACTTTGCTGTACACCAGCTCGGGCAGCTAACATTCTCTCACAAAGTAGTGTAAGGTCCCTAACATAAAACTTTTTTTCTGGTCCACAGATAACTCAACAGAACAAGTACAAAGCACGTGGGCTTGGCAGCCTTTCTGCTCAGCAGCTCAGATGGGAAGTCCATCGAATCACAGAATCTTTAAGGTTGGAAAAGACCACACAGATCGTTTAGTCCAACTGTCAGCCCATCACCACCGTGCTCACTGAGCCGTGTTCAACCACATCTGACAAAGCACTTGGGCTTCTGAGAAAAACCACTGCTTCACCTGACGTTAGGAAGGCTTAAAAGACACGTGTCTGAAGCAAGTACTGCCCTTAGGGACTGCAAAAGGAAACCCAGACAGGGAAAACAAACCTGCCTTCTAACCACCACAGGGACCCAAACAAACAGTTCAGGGATCCCTCAGCAGGGTAGATATGCAGCTACTTACAAAGGACAATCCAGAACAGAAGCAGAAACTGATACCAAAAAATCCACATTTATTACATTTACATGATATCTATATAAAATCCTTAATATAAAGAATCACTGTGTTCTTTTCAAGCAGGCTTAGTGACATTCAACAATTACAGAAAGTAGATTTGAATCCTTGTGGCTACAAAAGCTGCCTTAGTGAGAGTGAAAAGCAGAAGCAGAAAACAAATTGTGCCTGAAGATCAGCTGTACCCACTAGAGCAGAACAGCAAAAATTAAGGACGTTTTCAAGAGAGCACAAATAATAATAGTGAATATTTAAACAGTCTTACTGGTTTAAAAATGGTTTCAAACTAGCTCAGATTAAATCTATGGAACAGGTGTTGTACTGTGACCAGAGCATCAAGGTCCCAGATTTGCGAAGGACTGCTGCTAGGGCAGGTAGTTCCTCACACACCTTCACATGAGATGAGCACCAAGAGCTCAATAAATACTATCATTCATCACTGCAAACTCACTCATTTTCATACCAGCAGCACTCACAGCCTGCAGAGCTGCAAAGAACCAATACTTACTTCAACTGCCCTATTGCCCTAGTCAACACATCCTATTTACCAAGAGTGGTGAGGTGCTGGCACAGGCTGCCCACAGAGGTTGTGGATGCCCCGTCCCTGGAGGTGTTCAAGGCCAAGTTGGATGGGGTCCTGGGCAGCCTGGTGTAGTATTAGAGATATGGATATATTGGTGGCTCTGCCTGCAGCAGGGGGGTTGGAGATTCACGATCCTTGAGCTCCCTTCCAACCCAAGCCATTCTATGATTCTATGATTGTGCCAACTGACCCAACAGGACACAAGCTAGTCCCCCATGTCACTCCTAGCAAGATGACGTTCAGAAGTAGGTATGAGGAAGAGCAGCCAGGCACTGCAGACAGACACTGGTAGGCATCCTGCTGCCAAACAGCCAAAAGAAGCCAAATGCTTGGGAAAAATGGGATGTGTCATTCTACACTACGGAGCGAAAGAAAGCCAGGGCAGCAATTCCCAACTGGACAGATTCAGTTCCTTCCACAGGAGATTTTCCACTACAGACCCACTATTTGAGGTCAGGGCTTAAGCCAAATTAACTCCAGCTCACACAAAGCTCAGCACTGCAGCACCGCACGCACGGTGCCACCTGAATGTCTAATAACTTTCAGCCCCTTGCAACCGTAAACCCCTCTGCAACAGC